GGAAAGCTGCCTTTATATCAAAGGATCTCATTTTCCAGGTATGGGACGCAATAGTCTGTAGAATTATCATCCGTGAAGTCTTGTTAAGGGTTGGACTATCTCGGGGAACTTCCTCTAGTTTCGGGTCCAAGTATCCCAGAACCACTAGTCGAGCTTTTGCCTTGTGGGTTTTGGGGCAACCGGATACTTTGTCTCCATTTTGGGATTTGTCTTCTTCTCCATGATTGACATTGTCTAGAGGCTTCCATGTCAAGATCCATCTGCACCTTAATATTTGCTCTTCGGGGATCTGATTCCGTAAGATGGCACTGATAGTTCCTGTCTTTATCCAATTGTCTACCTCAGCCTGCTTGGCCTTTTGAAATTCGGAGAGCTCTGTGGAATTCAGGTTTGACAACTTCACCTCTGTTCGTTGTTTCTTGGAGGCCGTTGCAAGCAACAACCATGTCTCCTCAGTGGTGGGCACTCGGGTCCCCAGTGGTTCATTCAGGTGAATGTCAAACTCACATGACCAGCTCAAATTGCCAGACTCTTCGCAGTTAAAGGCATTGCTTGGCTCATGGCTGGTTATATACAGCAATTCCTGGTCTTCGGAAGCCAGGGTGTCGGTGGGCTCTCCTTCTGGTGCGTTCACAGGTTCATTCTGAGAGCCTTCAGGCGTCACGTTCTCTGGTTCTTGGTCTGGTTGGGAAAGTGATTCATTTTGACTCTCTTGTGAGATGGCATCAGGGTTATTAGGATCTGGTTCATTGGGGTTATCTTCATGAGAGTTATTGGAGTTATTTTCAGGGGAATTTTCAAGTGGGATTTCCTGGAGGTGTTCTTCTTGATCACTTCGGTGGATCATGCGATTGATCTGCTGGGCCATTGGTGTGATGTCCGGTGGGAGCTCCGGTCCTTCGGGAGAGCCCTCTTCTGGCAGGGATCTTCGGGTGTTCTCGGATGCGCTACGGATGAGCTTTCCATTGGAAGTACACCACACAGTGTGATTCTCACCTTGTAGAATTACTCTATGGGGACCATTCCATCTTTGTTGATTTAGGGGACCACCTTTCCATGTCATGACCCAATCACCCTTCGTAAAAATCCCTCTTGAGGGACATGCTCTACGCAGTAGGGCTCTTCTCAACACATCGCTGTTGTCGGCCGTGTGAAAAGCCCTTCTTGCAGCTTCTCGGACAGCCAAGGCTTGGCGGAAGCTGAGTGGACTCATATCGGCTTCTTCTTGGATGACCTGTTCATGTGATGGCAAAGAGTTATCGCTCAACACTGATCCTACCAGTCTGGTATGCTTTCCGAAAACAATTACCTCTGGAGCATAACCATGTCTTATGCTAATAGAATTCTTGGCATGAGTGCATTGATTGAGGGCTTGTTGAAGGTCATCGTAATCCAAAACTGGGTGTTCCATGTCAATTTTGCTCAGCATGGATTGTAGGAATGCCCCATGTCTCTCAATCTTGCCACTCTGCCAATGGGCGTCCGGAGCAGTGGTCGTGGATCGGATGTTGAAGCGTTGCGTGAACTCTGCAAACTCTTGGCTGTTCATCTCTGTGCCTGAATCCACTACCATTTCTGTAGGTGGACCTGCCCAGCTTAACCAGTGCTGATTCAGCACCCGGATCAAGTCCTGAGACGTCTTGGCAGGTGAAGCCACAGCAACATGGTAATTAGTCCCTGCATCCAGCATGTGAAAGAAATGGAACGATCTCCCCTGGTTGTTGGTCCAACTAACTCCATCAAGATACACCTTGTGGCTAAAATCTATCATGGACTTTAGGGACGCAGGTCTGGCATGCTTCGGTGGAGCATGGGCTGCGCAGGCTGCACATTTAATTTCCAAAGCTGCCTGAACTACTTCCGGTCGTGAACCATTCACCTGGAGGGCTCGGGATAATCTTTCATTTGAGGGATGCCCCAAATTCTTTTGGAGTTTGATGATCATTTGTTGTTCCCATTTTGGCAAGCTTCTGAACCGCAAACTTTGTTGAGCTCCAACTGGATCCAGGGGTGTATTCGACGACACCGTTGGAGGAGTATTTGGGTCTCCTTCGGTTGAAGGTTCAGGGCTTTCAAAAGTAACTTGCGGAACGGCAGGCATGGGTCGAGGCTCAGCTTCTTCGAACTGACGAGAACCCACGCTGATTTCTTCATCTAAACTGGGCTGGTGCGACAACGATTCCGTGGACGCTGGTGGTCCTGGTTCTGCTGGTGTCTCTGACATGTCATGTCCTTGTTGAGGTTCCGATCTTTGCTGATGGCTTGATGACGGCTTTTCATGGTGTCTGGCATCATGGTCTTTGGCAAATACGGTGATGTTCACACGACATGCATGAGACGGTCTGATCAGCTGACGCTTGGAAAGTTCTGACCATTTTTCCCAGTATTTCTCATGCATGATCCCTCCATCTCTGCGTAGCATCAACATCTTTCGGAATGGTGCTTCAAGGGCATGCATGCCTTTGGGCGGTGCCATGGTTCTCTCAGTTCCCCTACAAGCCATTACCCTATGGATTTGTTTATCAGGAAAAAATTGTTGAAGCAAATCTATTGACTGCATGTTCTGGATCTCGGTTTTTCCTACTCTGGGCAAATCTGCACATATCGCCTCAATGGCGTGTTGGCACATTTTGTGAGTTGGAGCGATCCCTTGCAGAGAGTCAGACTTCTGCCTCTTGGCATCCTGATTTGACCGGGCAACTGGCGTCACTGTCCGTATGGTCTGCATGGGGCCCCTTTGGACAAAACCTGAGCTACTGCCCTTGCAAACTTCCGGGGATATACTTCAGTGTATTGAGATCTAAGGACCCGACCGACTTTTGGAACCACACATGATCCCTCTATGGGTTGATGTTGGTGACGGTGGTCACAAGTCAAACCATGAAATCTTCTAAAGAATGGTTCAAAGGTGGTCAAAATTGTCATCCCCTTACGCATCGGCAGTTGGCTTTCAGGGTCTACCAAGTCTCCAGCACGGCACATATCAAATTGGCACGCTTGGGTGTGTTCATGGATTTCATTGAGATTGGGATTTTGGAACATAAGTGACTTTTGAGGTTGCTCCCAGTGAAAGTGGTTCCCGTTGATATGTTGATGACGGTAAAGTACAATTCCCAGTGCGATTTGGTATTGGAGATCTTTTCTCAATTGTCGATAGTGATCTTGATGGTACATTGATCGGGATGCATTCAGTTGAGACCACGATGACCATGGTCCACACGTGGGGGAGTACCACAAGTGCTTTGGCCGGTGTCTGGCAATCAAACGAAACAGATCAGAACGTCCCGTGCTGGTGGCAAGGTCGCCTTGTTCCAGTCCAAATCGGAATGCCGAGTGGCCACTTCGCAAAACCTGCTGAGTTATCGGAGAGTTGGAGCTGCACATCACTTCACTTACGGCCCACGGTGAACCCATTGGTTTGGTTTGGTGAAGTATCTCTTGGAATTCCGCAGTGATTTCTTCAACCTGTTTCCAAAAGGCTACTGTTTCCGAATGGACAGTGGTGAAAATGCTCTCATTCCAGTCGTTGGTGATTTCTTTTATTGATTGCTCCACATCCGACATATTCGCAGGTACTTCGGATGATCGGATTGGACCACTGGCGTCTCTCAGTTGACCTCGGGGCCCTGGTTGTTCATGATCTGCACGGCCTGCTCTTCGATGTGCTGAATCACTCTGGTCAGGGCATTCTCCATGTTCAACATTCGGGTTTGGAGAGCATGCACCTCTTCCGACGTCTGACCCTGGACATAGGTCGTAGTCACTGGGATGAACATCTCGGATTCCTCGTCCCAGTCGTCGATCACACCCTGCAAAGAGATGGGAGTGGCCAGGCTCTTTGCCATGGGCTTTGCCTGAGCCTTTGGACGATTCTGTCTGCTCAGGTGCTGACGTGGTGGCACCACATTCTGGGCCTGTTCCAGCTGCTCGATCTTGAGCTCCACAAACCTCAAGAATCGGCGGTGGCTCTCCTTTGTCGATCCCTCGTACCTGTTGATCATGAATTGAACCCATTCTTGATCTTCCCATGCTTCCAGATAGGAACGTCCCTGGTGCTTCTGGCCAAACGATATGGTCTCTCCGGCCAGGTCTTCTAAACGCAAGTGCTCCAGGTTCTCCACTGTCGTCGTTGCTGGAATCTGCAACGCACGAAGACGATTGGAGAGGGATGCCATGTTGGGGAGCACTCTTTGGTGATTCAACGACCGGATCTATCGAAGTGGTCTGAGCACGGCTGTCTGGGAAACACGGTTCGGTTGCATCATTCTTCAACTTTTGTTCCTGTGACATGTTTGATGGCTGTGAAAGATTTGCAATTTGGGATTCATCCTCTTGATTGGGCGGTGGCTTGATGATTGGTTGAGTGATGGTTGATGAAGGCGGCTTGGTTTCCTTTGGTTTTTCCTTGGTCTCATCGGACACAAAGGTCTCAGCAAAAGTCTTTGACCGCTTTGGGTCACCTGCGACTTGGCTCGACTGGGACTGCTTGATCAACTGATTTACATCAATCAAAATCAAACCTTTGGCAGTGAGTTGCAACGGAACTGGTGAGCTCAGCAGGTGACTCGACAGAGTCTTGGATGCACAGTCAATTTTTGCCTCAATTGCCCTCATGAGCGTATTGCTTATGAGGAAAGGTGTTCCTCCAGGCACTATTGCTACTTTTAACAACAGAGGGCCTATTGGTATCACCAATGCCTGATGGCTGTTGAGGGTACCCTGGTTTCCAAACCTAAAGGTGATATTGCATGGGCACCTGGATAGCTTCTTGCGAGCTGCACTGTCGAGGCTCTGAATCAGTTCGGCAACGTGATCACTACCTATCACAGTCTTACTGGCTCCTAAGTCCAATATGCCATGAGACCCATGTGTAGCAAAACAGATTGTTGCATCTTGGACATCAGTGATTGGGTTGTCTGGTCGGTGGTGACTGGACACTGTCAGTGGGCTCTTGGCATGGGCACACTGTTGGTGCTCATGTGACATGGTACGCTGTCGGTTCAGCGTGGCTGCAAGGCGCATTCTGGCAGGTTCTCGGCTTTCATTCCTGAAACCCCAGGCTTTCAGGCGTTCCCGTGGTGTGGAACTTACTAAGGTTATCCCATTATCCCCATATGATTCCCCTTGAATCGCACTATGATAACTGGACTTCCGGGTTCCCTGGGATGCTGCAACATTAACTGTGTTCACTAAAATCGGCAAAGCATCATCGAGGGTTCCATGGGAGACTTCCGGCAGGTGCAAAAACTCCAGTGGAAGAACATCTTGGTACGACTGATCTATGGACACGGTCGTGGCGGGCAAGCTTGATGACCCGGTGGATCCTCCAGTCGCTGTCGAAGACCCTTGTCCACTTTGGCGAAACGGGCACTCAGCCTTCCAGTGACCTTTTCTATTGCAGTTTCTACAGTAGGAATTGAGGATCCTGTCCTGAAGACTACGTCTAGGCTTCTGTGACCAGTTGTTCTTCCCCTTGCCAAAACCCTTTGAAGACCCTGACTTACCCTTTGAGGTCTGTGACGCTGATCTACTTGAGGTGGACCAAAACCCACGGTTCTTGAACTTTTCTGACAGTCTGCGACGTGCTTCTGTATAAGCACTGAAAGCTGATGATAGCTCCGGGTCGTCCTGCAACAACTCCACTGCTGCAGCTTCGAAATCTGCCACTAAAGTGGCGTCCTCATCGCCCTCGTTCACCAGGCAGTCAACGTATTCGTCTTCTCCTTGATCATCCATATGGGCAAAGGCACCCTCATGGTCCTCATCCTCAGCCATCAGTGTTGTGGTTCCATAGACCTTGGTCTTGGCTGTCTTCCTGGCTCCTGTCATGTCATGAAAGAAGGTGGCACCAAGTAGCCGGACAGCTTCGCTCACACGTTTGACAGTGAGCTTACCCTCCAGACTGTTGTCTGACTCCAAAATCACCCTTTTCTTGTCCTCTGCATTGAGACCTGAACCTCTCAGCAGTATATATGCCTGTAAATCATCCAGTGAAAGCTTCCTCGATTGCAGTTTGCTCCAAGCCACATCAGCTCTGGCTAAGTAGCTGTCGTTGGATTCATCTTGCATCTGTGCTAGATGATACAATGCAATCTCGGCCTCCTCGTACTGTTTCTCCAAGGCAATTCTACCCCAGTGACCTCCCAGAAGTTCGATCAGCCGTTTAACGGCCTTTTCATCGTTCTCCATGAGTTCCACTTGATGTAATTGCAGTTTCGAAAATGCAGATCCTTTGCAGTTAAGGATTAATCTTGTTGTCAGCTCAGTGATTCGATTCTTCGGCCAGGCCATTAACACCAATTCCACCTTTTGTTGATACTCCAGCATGCTGTCGGTGGACGGATCGAATGACGGAACCAGTGTGGCTAACTGCGAGCCAACTCCGGTGTTGGTTCCGCCATCGCCATCTGAAGCAGCGGCCATACCCAAGGTTCTCCCTGGATGCTCCGGTAGCGAGCCGGAGCTCCGCTACCAATATGATTGGCACGGACTCCACTCCAAAGAAACTGAAAAGCGTCTCACCTGTAAATAAACCAGAAAGCCCTGCTTATCTGAAATACCCCAGTATAACACTCAGCCCACAGTCTCCAGGCGCCGTCACCAACTCTGTTTTGCAGCGATCGCTCAAGGTCGTCCCACGACCAAAGCAAGGGCACAAAAGGTGCAAAGGACGTCCAGCGTCCCAAGAGAGAACCCTGTCTCTCACCAGCCTATGGCTCAAGGATCTGAAAAGACCCGCCGCTCCCGCCACTGGCTCCCTGAGCCTAAGATGCTTCGGTTGGACAAGGCAATGTCCATGGTTTCCGAGACCTCAGAGGCTTACCACCAGGTGTTTAAGGGGAAGCGCATCATTGTCATCTGCCACCAACCTAACACAGGTTCGGGGCAGGCTGGAGACCGCTAGTCTCCGAGGGCTTCCATGGCATCACGCACGGGCGCGCGCCCAGAAGAAACCGGGGGCCCGCAACAGGGCCGGTGACAACTCGCAACAGCAAAGAAAATTGGAGGCATCGAGAGGCCACAGTGGCCTAAAAGGATCTTGTCAAATTCAAAGAAGCGGCACACAGCCAACATTTCCGGCACACAGCCGTACTCTTGCAAAAAATTCACTGGGGCAGCAGGGTGCCACAGGTTCCAAAAGAACCATGGAAAAGCACTAAGACATTGGACATTCCTGTGCAGGCTAAAGCGCCAAACTAGCCTATTTTCATTTTTGTGACAAAGGTTAGGAGCCGCCATCTGCCTCCCTTTGTCACCAACCTTTCTTACCAGAGCAGCCCCATGCTCGGATTTATCAGGACAGGGGTCTTGTTGCGGTCTTTTTTCAGTTTTGACTCTAACAACACAGACACTGTACACCCTACGAAGAACCCAGCAAAACAGGCTCAAAAGGTGTGAGCCATGATCATGCAGAGGCATGCTATAAAAACTAGAAAAGCTACGCCGTGGCCTCACACCGCCGTCATGCGCAGCGCCGCGCAGCAGCGCCAGCTCTTCCGCAGCAGCAGCCGCATCAGCCAGCGCCAAGCCAGCTAGCAGCCCGCGCCAGCAGCCAGTGCCAGCAGCAATGCAAAGGGGAGAGAAAGGCGTGACCTCAGTATGTCGGGACGACGCACCACCTGTGAGCCTGCCGGCCGAGGCAGACCGTTCTCTGGCCATGCGATTAATCACCTCAGCTTCACGAATGGCCCCCATCTGGGGAATGAGTTTCTGAGAAACTGCACTCGGCACATTGTGGCTCCAACCAAGTCTTTGAGCTAAAACACAGGGTGGAGGGGCGTGATGGCGGAGATGGCCATACGCAGGGCAATCCCAAAGAACATGGTGAACCGTAGGGCGCACAGATTGATCCAAACAGTCCGGGCAACCTAAAATTTGAGGAGCAGAACCCCAAAAAACCGTGGCACTAGTACGCATGGAACCAAGGATGATTCCACGTTCATGGGGCCCAACCGCCCGTTTGAAAACTTTGCGTAACTTGTCAATCAACTCATAGGAAATTGCATCCCCGAGGCGCACACTTCTGGCCTCCTCAGCATCAATACGCCGAGTGGCCAACCACCTACGAAGCATTGATTTTCTCCATCCGTGTCGGATGAAGTGCATCGCCTTAGTACGTTCAACCTTAGGCATGGACAAATCAAACCGGTTTCCTTGATTATCGCTCCAAACCCCCCACATCGTAGGTTGGAAATCCCAACCAGCCAAGTGCTCTGTGGCGGCCTGTACCAAGCCAGCCCAGTGAGGCCTGACCACAGCCAATCTGTGTTGAGGGAAACGCCTGAAAGCCAGCCAGCGGCTCAAGGCATTGAGGAAACGGGTTGTGAGCAAAAACCGCAAATCGGAACAGTGTCCCAAAATTAAAAGCTGTTTGAGAATGGGAGAAGCTCTGTCATTTGGGCACCCCCTTTGTCTCTCCTCCCAGGTACCACTGTTTCCAAAAACCGCAAAGCAAAAATTTCTGAGGTGGGCCTCCTGAGCTTCATCTAAACCATTCTGACACAAATTCTTACCCCAAGAAGCACTGCCGACGAGCAACGCTGTCGCAACCCGTTGCTTGAAATCCTGGTGACATGGTAGCATGGCAATCCTTGTGGCCATGGCTTTCTCCTGAGCAGCTCTTGCCGTCCACTTGGGGTGCGTGTGAGGGTCATTTCCCAGCACATACCCAAGAACCTCCGCCTGGCAGGTCACAGGAAAACTCACATCCGCTGTTTCCAAAAACCTGGCCATGTTGGCATTACGAGGCCAAAGTTGGGTCTTAGCCGGATTAGTACGCAGTCGCGTGACAGTGCTGAGTGTTTCCCACTCATTGTATGCTGCTTGCAAGCTAGTCCAGTCGGCCCCTACTAGGGTCCGGTCGTCTAAATAGACAGCGCACCCGACCAGGGGGTGTCGAACTTCACACCGCTTGGTGGGACATGAAAGCACCAAACTCATCGTCAGAGGTGACCAGGGATCACCCTGGGGAAGAGAAGTGATACCAGTCATGCACTCCTGGTGAATAACCCCTCCCAAACTAAGCCACTTTTTCTGGTTTAACCATTGATCACCCAACAAATTAAGAACCTTTTTGGGGACCCCGACCCTAGCAAGCAATTCCAACCCGAGGGAGCAGTTAATAGAATCGAAAGCTTTTTGGTAATCTAGCGCCAGCCCCAAGCCGAACTGTTCAACAGGAAATTCAGCCTGCAAAGCTAAGTGCATGACTTCACAGTCACACTTACTGTTGGCCTGCAGAGACCCTAAATGAGCTTCGATCAGGTGTCCACACCCTTTGACCCGGCACTTTGCCCAAATTCTGTAAACCATGCTCCCAACACTGATGGGACGAAACTTGTCAATTGCCGCCGAGGAGCTTTTTGGCAGGAACTGCACACGCCAGTGGTGGACCGCATCCGGCCAGACTCCTAAATGTTCAAAACGACAAAGAAGTTGTGCAAAACGGTCCCAAGCCGCCGGAGGCAGCGACAACAAAGCTTGGGCGGACACACCGTCCGGCCCCTCCGCTTTGTTGACCATGGTGGCTGCAGCACGCCTGAGTTCAGACGCGCAAAGAGGTTGCCAAGTTGCCTCAGGTCTCATCTCCGGCAACTCCTCAGCATATTCCGCCAAAAATTTACGGGGTCATCAGAAACATCCTCCCTGCCGAAAACTTTGGCCCAAAAGGGAAACAAGGCTTGAAGGCCCGCGGCCTGACCTGCGACGACTGTACCGTCCTCTTTTTGCAGCAAGAAGGGAGGAGGCTGAGACTGTTTAACCCAAGCAGATGCTTTGGAAAGGTCCTGCATGTCGGCTTTCCACGCATCCTTTTTGAGTTTGGTTTTAGCAAAATGAAATTCATCCAGCTGCCCACACAAATCAGCTTCGAGGGATCCCCACCGTTTGCCGTCAACCAAGCCCCGGTTCCTAGATGGAACACTTTTCCGCAAATTTGTCACGAGCCCAGTCGGGATCGTGGCCCCTTTGCGGGACAAAAACAAGGCTTCCCTGGCACGTCGAATGCATCTCCGCAGCTCCCGTTCCTTATGACACTGACCAGGTGCTAAGTGGTGACCTGCAGAAACCAAAGAAGGCACGGCCCCGATCAGACACCGGCGGCCGGTTGGTCTGATCTGGCCAGTCTGTGCTAAGAAAGCTTCAAAATCCTGAGTCCAAACAGCCCATAAATCCTCAGCGGAGCTCACCAAAGCTTGCTGCCAGACACTCAAGGGGCTGGCCACCGATTGCCAAATGGCAGAAGCCGCGTCAGGTGAAGGACCAACACCATGAATTTTTCTATGCCTGCGAAATTTCCACAGGGTCCTATGATCCTGGAGTCGTGGCGAAACAAGGTGAGGGACAGACAGGGTGGCCCAAGCGATAGAATGATCATTCCCAAAACTCTCAATTTCACCCCCATCAAAACTGGAACTAAATTTCGGGGAAACCCAAATGGCATCAATAGGCTGGCTGCTACTAGCGTGCCTACCCGTACCAGTCAACAGACCCAGGTGCATATCTTAACCGGAAAATTGAAGTCACCACAGCAAACCCAGAACTGTTGAAGGCCGGCCATGGGATTGAACACTTCAGGATTCCAACATTTGGGACGCTGGTAAATGTTGAACAACCTAAAAGGGCGCTGCAAACCATGAACTTCAACCTGCAGGTTTTGACCATCATTGGTGGACAGGGAGTTCACTTGACTAACTGCCAAAGGTTCCTTGACGGCAACCGCCAGACCGCCACGATTATTTCCAAATGGAGGGACAAAAAGGGTCTGCCATCCTTGACGCCTAGCATTCCACATCGCAGTGCCGATTTCGTCTGATGCCAAATTAGCTTCCTGGGCACGTACAACCAAAACCTCTTCTCTATCTGCAAAATCAAGAAGCGCTTCACCGTGCTTATTCCAAGAGCTAACATTCGTACTCCAAATTTTCAAAGGAATTGAGCGCTGCCCGGAGGCAGGTTGCGAAGCACACTCCTCAAAATCATTTTCATCACTTTTCACCTGCATACGCTGCCCAGAGGCAGGCCCAAACTCATCCGTACCCAAACCAAGGCGCTCATCGGGGGCACAAGAAGGTGCCTGAGGACCCGGGTGACTGGCCTCTCCGATCCGCTGGCCGCGGTAACCACGCCTAGTAAGCGCGGTGCCACCTGCAAACTTGGACAAACAAGTTTTATTTCTCAGCTGAAATCCACAATTCTTTTTCCCAAAGATTTGATTTGCACACTCCAAACATGAAAACACAGTCACGTGCCGCTGCCCGGGGGCAGGTTCAACATTCCACATACCCATACCACTTAACCCCCGCAACAATTCACTGAGACGCCCGGAGGCAAGAAACTGCACCTCGTATCGGCGTCCGGAGACGCGGTCCTGAGCCATAATACAAAATAAAGCAGCAACTAAACCCGACGGGCCAGGGTGACGGGCCTCACCGATCCGCTGTCCCCGGTAACCTCTTTTGGTCTGAGCAGTCCCCTTGGGCTCCTGAGATAACACAAGTTTTTGTCTTTTCTGCTCCCAACGGCACCTGTTCGCGTGGGCCGCGTTTTCCTTGCCATTGGTCATGGCTCCCTTGTACCTCAGTTTTCTCTGCTGTTTCGCAACCACTTTTTTGAGCTGCTGCAACTTCCGCCACTGCCGGATCCTTTCTGCTTGGGCCGGAAACTGGCTGGCGTTGCTTGACTTGGGGCAGGGACCAGCTTTAGGGATGTTTCCTCGAGGCATGACATAATTACAATCAAGGCATCTATGGTTCCAAACCCCAAAACCTCCTTTGGAAAAAGTTCGGGACCCTTCAAAGGCGATTCGGTGACTGCCGGGCCATCGCTCCCGGTTATAGGCTTCCCAAATAGCTTTCCAAAACACATCATGATTGAGCTTGACCCGCGCGGCAGTTCGCACGGCATTGACATGGAGCCCTTGGGCAGAGGAGGCGGTTTTTTGACCCCATGGGCTTTCAACAAATGTCTTTTCCGGTGGGTATAGTGAGCGTTGCAGTATTTCCCCTGAATCCACTTTTGAAAAACATGGAAACCACACAATTGACATGTCCACCAAGGTCTCGACATCTGTTCCTCCTTAGTAAGTTCATGTATCGTGCCTATCCTACCTTCAGGTGTCGGACCCGGACCAAACAAGGCATCTGAGACCTGGCCACCCACTTCCGAAGGCCTAGGCGGGAGTGCTGTGACAGACCTGGCACTGCCGCTGTCCTCATGTTCCTGGGCATGTTTGTCTGCAAGGCTGGCTCTACCGCTGACAAAACTTTGATCAGGTGTGGTTTTCTTCCAGTATCTAACCCGTGGCGACCCATGGGTGCTAACGGGAGCTTCGCTAGGAGAACCTCTGGACCAAAACCTAAGTTGTGAGCCCGCAGCTGAAGAAAGAGAGGCAGCGGGAGTACTACTCCGGTTCACCTTTTTTTTCTCTGAGCCTTTTTCCGACGGCGTGGAATCTGCCCACCATTTCCCCGCTCCTTTCAAATGAAGTCTGGATGCATCATTGGTGTTACTCGATTTCTCCCATTCGACAGGAAAAACATGTCCATCCCGTTTCCTGACCAACTGAAAATGCTGGTCTTTCAGGTAGAGCACCACAGGAAACTCGCGTTTCTTGTTTGGACCAAAAACATATGGAACAGCCGAGCCATCCGCCCGTTCTTCCACCACCACAATGCGGATCCCGCATCGGCGAGTAATGGCTTCCAGAGTCATTCCACAAAGCCACTGTCCATCCCGTTTCACCGTCTCGGCCCATTCCGGAAAATTTTCCGGGATCGGACCACCTGCCGTGTCCTCAGTTTCTTGATCATTTACAGCCCAAAGTGGCTCATATTCTTTCGCATGCCTATGGAGGTGTGTAGACACGTCAGCCCGCAAGGTTTTGGTGGCAGCCGCAACCTGTTCTCTGGCTTCCGCAAGAGGGACATTCTTATTGAGCATCATGGCCGTGGCAATACAGTTCCAGCCACAGTTTCCAGCACCTCCACAGTCAACTACCTCGTAAGGCAGAGGGGTTTCGGGTTTGTGCTTTTTCCGTGCCACGACCGCTGTATCAGCAGCGTTTGTGACTTCAGTTCTGGTTGTCGCAACATCCGGGCAAGCGACCTGTGGCAATTCCCTGTGTTGCCAAAAGCCTGCCGCCACTGCTTTTTTCCCAGTTATAGACTTCTTCGGGGGAGGCTTACTAAGCGTCAGATAGATACCATGAGTGTCAACCCCAAAAACTTGAACATTTTGAAATTCTTTTTGAACTCTAGAAAGAATCATCCATGGTTGAGCCTTGGTGGGCCGCCGGACAACAGTCGTGTCCTCGCAACCCGCTCCTTCAAGACATCGTGCAACGTCCTGTGCCGTCCATTTGGCAGGCACACCAGTGACCTGCCATACCTTCGGTTTCTCATCGTCAGCGTCAGTTCCGAGCAGACCCAAACAGGCGCCGCCACCCACACGGAACTTAAGTGGAACCTGTTTGGTGAAGGCCAACTGTTGAACTCGTGCCATGTATTGAAAGTCCGTCTCATTGGCAACACGCGATACCCACGAAACTTTCGGGGGGTTAGGGTTGTCCCTGGTAGTTTGAGCCAAGAAAAGCCCCTTGGACCCGGACCTACGGAGAATGTCAAAAACTTCCTGTTTGTCCACTTTCACAAACCCTTCCAACACAGTTTCCTCACCACCAAACCTAGTCCTGTGGGCAACTTGCGACCACTTGAAAACTTGAAAGTGCTATGAAAGGCTGTAGGTGATATCACTGTTCTCAAGACCGCAGCAGGGCTACGAACCACGTTTCTCCAACCGTCAGCTTGTAACAAGCGTTGTGGAATCTGAACTCTAAGTGTAGTCAAGGCACGTTCAACCTTAGGGGCTCTGGACGAAGTTGAGCAGCTAGGAAGTTGAGGATATTGACTAGCCAAGGGGCAGGCCCAAAACTGACCCAGACCGGCCTTACCCGCCGCATCAGTTGCAGGCAGCAGATGCCTGGAGGCGTTTCCAATTGGCGGTTCAGACTGACCCTTGTTGATCAAACACACCAAGGCGTAGGCCTTGGTGATTTGATGCACCTGAGCAAGGTTGCGAAGTTCGGCAATCTGAACTTCAGTACACCAAGTGACGCAACCGGACGGGACCTCCCCTCTCGAGAGGGCTTCACGAAGTTTGGTCACACTCATAGCAGCACTAGGTGGCCAACCACTCGGGAGAAGACGGATCAGCTGAAAGTCTTTCCCTGAGCCTTTGCCCTTGACAGGTCCTTCACTGGGACTCAAACCCTTTCCTTTTCCTTTTGACTTAGCCCCAACCGCCTGCGTCGGCGGTGAACCACCAATTTTCGGTCTATTTTTGTTTTTTCGACCTTTGGAGCTGAGGCTTTTACCAGTGCTGGCAGCCTGAACCAGACCTGTCAAACGGTCCAACAAACCTTCTCCGTTGTTTTTCCCAGATCGCTCCACAAGTCGTCTGAGTGCACCAAGCAGTGCCCCTTCGCTAGTTGTGGTGTTAGGGGGTTCAAGCGAGGTCCCCCCAGTAGATCCCTTAGAAACATTTCCCAAATTCCCTTTCGAGGGGGAAACAACACTCCCTTTTTGGGGTTTACCAGCTTTTCCTTTACCCAACTTGTCACCTGTAGCAGGAGCTGACTGAGTTTTACCCTTACCCTTAGTGGCATGGTCAGTGGGTTTACCTTTCCCTTTCTTTGCCTGTCCTCCCTTTTTTTCGTTGGAAGTGTTGAATTTCTGAAGCAGTTCTTGCAGCCCTTTCAACAAGTCTTGTTCGGTACTTCCCTCCCCACCCCCACCACCTCTAAAGAGCGCGTTTAAGGGAGTGTGCCGAGGAGAGGGGGACCCGCAACTCGAACGAGGAACACCACGGGGACCATGTTGAACCCGAGACACCAAACGACCCTTCCAACCCTTACGGGGAAAGGAAACCCGCCGCCGACCAACCCAACGACAGGGGACCTGAGAACGACGAACCGTCCGGGGAACCCGAGGACGACCAACCGACCCAAGGCAGGACGCAGTGATAACGCCATCGAACTCACCGCAACAAGCGAAACCAAACCAACAGGCGAGACTCCCGCCCCCAACCACACCCCCCAAAAGAGACCGCAGGACGCGATGGCAGAAGAGGCAAGCACGCAGGCGAATCCAAAGACCCCACCCAGAACCCAGACAAAGGACATGACCATATCCAAACTGCTAACCTTGGTGTAATCCACCTTTCCAAAGTGTTGAGAAACACCTCTATTCAATGCCAAGCAGCTTGTAGTCCGAATTTCAAGCAAGCCACCAATTTCATGCAAACGTTCAATTAAGCCAGCACAGCGCCAGCGCCAGCGCAACTTGTAGTGGAGCGCATGCAGCAGCGCCAGCAGCAGCAACCAAGGAGCCGGCATGGCCCGACTACCGCGACACTAGCTTGAGCCAACCTTGAGCCAAAATGGCTTGAGCCAAAATGGCTTGAGCCAAAATGTATGTATATGTATGTATATGTATGATGTATGGATGTATGGATGTATGGATGTATGTATGTATGTATGTATGCATGCATGCATGCATGCATGTATGTGTATATATATATATGTATGTATGTAATAATGTGATGTAATGTAATGTAATGTAATGTTGTGTATGTAATGTTATGTATGTAATGTTATGTATGTACTGTTAGGTATGTAATGTTAGTCATGCATGCATGTATGTATGTATGCATGAATGCAATGTAATGTAATGTAATGTTATGTATGTATGTGTATGTATGTGTATATAAATATATATAATATTTACGCATGATTTTGTATACATCTAATAATAGTAATGATAAATGTATATATATATATATTTTGCTTGCAGGCACCCAGATGCAATCGCTGCGGCCTCTCGCTGTGAATTCCGCTGCAGCTGTTACAGCGTCCATCACTTGACAAAATCAGAACCTAGATGGCTGCCATACGTGGTCATGTGCAACCTTCTCCACAGTTCTAGGTCTGACTGTGATGGTGACTTTGCATCGCTGCATGGCCAGTGGCTGATGGTACTGTGCAAGGAGGCTGCAAGTGCTCCGCACATTGCAGGCGGATACTCCTTAAGCGGCGATGTACGCCACTTTCCGTCAGCATCAAGGCCAATTGCTGAGCCTTTGGGGAGGTCCACACACACTCTCCATCTGTGCAGCATGTGGACGATTCCCGGAAGGTTTAAAAGGAGCAGCTGGGTTGGCTTTGCCGTTGGGGCGCCCAGCAGTCCTTGGGCGAATTTGCAAGTATCAACACCCGCACAATCAAGAAGTGCACGGATCACTGGCAGCTTCCATATGCTCGGAGAATCAGGCCCAGGCGGAGGTGCAGGATGCTCCACAACAGCACATCCTCCAGTGATGATGAGCTCCAGGAAGGCCTGCAGCACGAACATCAGGAGCTCATTGCCCACCATGACCTGCTGCAGCTCCTTGAGACGCATACAAGCAAATCCCCAGAGCTCTTCAGCACTACGGACTGGCCTCGGGCCCGTACGCCCATCTGCTAAGCCATGCTCTCTCGCCGCCGTCCATGTCTCACACGGCGGCCCAGCAATGAGCGCCACCACAAAGCGCTCTTTGATCGCCTCTAACCAGTACCTCCTGGTACGAGGGTTACGCGCATCGCCGTACTCCTCGTCAATCACGATGTCCATGGAGACAATGTGCAGAACGTAGGTCTCGGCAGTCTGGTGCTGGAACTGCTCCAAGTAGAACTGCACATCTCCTGGGCGGCGGCGCCCCGAGTAGGCGTGAAGCACAACTCGGTGCTTCCCAAAAAGTGGAGGAACAGGCTCATGGCGTCCGACTTGTCCGACCATCTCACAACGGATCTCGAGCTCAGATATGCTGGACTTGATGCTGCTACCTTGCTTCTGCACCTGCAGGAAGGCAAAGGTGTCCGGCGTGCGCAGCCTTGTCAGGGCTGCAGCAAAGTCGCCAAGAGGTACTTCAGCAAAAAGAGCATCTTCAGCAGTGAACGCCTCCTCGAAGAAGTCAATTGTGCTTGTCCACGTAGTCCAGGAAATAGCGTGCTCCTCCACATAGTCCCTGGCAGATTGTTCAAATCCTGCTACACTCATACCAGGTTCTACCCTGTCGGTCAGGAAGACAAACAGGCCATCATCAATTCCAGGGGCTTCGCGAGGTCGTACAGGTTGGTTGTGCGGTCCTTCTGCTTGCACCGGTGGCAAAAGGCGGTCATGGCACAGAGTCAATTGGCGGTCATGAGCTGAGCCTGTGCCTGGTGCAATAGTGTCCTGGAACGGCCTGCTCTGTAGCACCCGTCGACAACGCTCCGAGTAGTATATGTGGGCCTTGGTCTTCTGGAGCGTGTGGAATACCTTCAAACAGGCGGGGCAAGTAGGCTCCATGAAGAGCTTGCGCGTCATTGCCACATGCCCATGTTTCTTGAACATGTGCGCTGCCTCTCCAGCTTTGCTGGCACATGTGAGTCCACATTGAAGGCAGCCAAAATGCTGCTCCTTCTTGTCAGCCTCGGCCTCCTCCTGCCACACAGCTCCAGGGCATTGAAAATCTCGAAGACGGTCTGCGATGCCAGAATGAAATTCTTTGACAGTCCATTGTCTCCGGGTCTGAAGGCATTCATGTTCTGTGGCTCTTCTGATGAGCCTCTTCCAGAATTTCGGATATTGCTGTATGATGTTGCGCCAGTGTTCGAAATCAGAACTCGGCCGAGGCAGGTCTGAACTTCGTCTTAGCTGTTCCCACATCCACTGCAGATCTGCTTCGACATAACCACACCAGTCAGCATCGGCAGAAAGGAGCCCCCAAGCATCTCCACCTCCGCAACGGAACAAGGTGCCCAGATAACGGAGGCGCTGTCTGCGGAGAAGTGTGTCCGGGGAGGGCAATCCAACTGTGGCCAAAATCTGCTCCGTTGAGTAATGCTGGTCAGGCGGAATCTGAAGCAATCGCCTGTACAGTTTCAGAATGGCCGCTGCAAATGTGGCAACTGTGCGGTTGTCTGTGACCAGCCAGCTTTCAGCTCCATATAGTAGCTTGGTGACAATAAGCACCTGGAAAAGCTCACTACGCTTTTTGAGCGGGATCTGTTTGTTGTGGTAGAGCACTTTTCTGTGTTGGTTGAACGCAGAATGGGCCAGAGCTAGGCGCCTTCTGATCTCAGTGCGCTGATCTGCTCCATGATGCAAAAGCCCGCCAAGGTGGAGATAGTTGTTGGTGATTGGGACCTGGTAGGACTGATGTTCCGTGAGGACAGGAAGCGACATCGATGCCTGCGGTCCAAAAAGTTGGATCTTGCGCCGTCTTGAGTCTTTGCCTCGAAGACTCAAGAGGATCTCAGACTTGCCTTTCTTGAGATTTGGAGACATACCGTGCTCAACACAGAGTTCCAGCAGCTTGCCTGCTGTCTGTGTGGCTCTGGTGACCAGACCATCAGTGTCTGGGTGGCTAAGGCAGATGGCTGTGTCATCCATCCATGTGGGCCCCAAAAAAGGCTCGAGATGACGTGTGGTCTGCGCAGCCGTCGCATTGCCAAACAAGTCCAGATAAGGCATGGCAGGGTAGGTTTCCAAAAGGTCGTGCTCGGCCATGTAGTCTTGCAATCGGTGCAAGACTCTGGCCCATACATAGCTGAAGCACACGTCAGCAAACGGGTCTCCTGGCCTTGACCCGAATGCCGTTTCAACTACATCTGTCTGGTGTCTCATCCAGAAGTGTGTATTTCTGTGTATGGCTGCTATGCTCTTGCGCAAGTGATAGGGCATTTCCGCCAACTCCAAGGCGTTGGGGCCATCCAACAGAGTCCAGAGCTCATGGAGCGCTGAATCTGGCATGTTGAGCTTCTTGAGGAAGGCTGCTAAGGCTTCGTCAGATAAATTGTTGTTCATGCAAAGCGGTCGGAAGATCCGATAGAACGCTTCGGTCAGGTCGATGAACACAACGGCTGCGCATCTTCGTTGTCTTTGTGCACACCTCAAGTGCGCTCGTACTTGATGTAGGCCGTAGGTGACTGGCATTCTGCGCTTGCCTCCGACCTGGTTCGTCTGCAAGAACTTTTCGAAAATGCTGGCCTGGTGCGTTCTCACTGTTCTATGTATTGCCTTGCCGATCTGGCTGGAGATCAGCAACGACCGGAAGGAGGAACAACTGTGTGTCGCCCCTTTTCCCTTGT